TGGTTCAACTTTTTTACAGACCAGATGCACCAATCTTTAGTGCCACATCCTTCTTAATCCTTTCACTATCTATGGGGGAAACATTGAGGAATCATTGAGGCCAAGAGAAGCTGAGCTGCATAATCTCTGTTTTTGTACATTGATAAAATAATTCAGCTAGTTATTTAACCTGTTAATTAATTCAAAAAACTTTTTTTTTTTTTTTTTCAGAATATAACATTGGAACATCTGAGGAAATGTTTGCATTTCCTCTTTAAAATCTACATATTTATACATGCCATTAGAATTTGGGAATGCAGAGCTGGCCTCAGGCAGCCCTAGAGGTATAACAAATATGTCGAGCTAAAATGACCCCACTGGCTACTTGGAGGTCAGCCATCACAAACACACACCTCTGCATGCATCCATAACAGTTCTGTTTAGCGTTTGTTTGATCAGTGGAAATATGCATTTTACTGCTAATATTGGGTTTCGCTACATGCATGTTTTCTGTTTGAGCTTTTACATGTGTCAACAGAGAAAAAAAGTTTATAAAGATGTTCAAATGAAAAGCCAGTAATCGCTAATCCTGAAGCTGAGCAGATGTTTTTTGGGCTGCATTCTCTTGAAGACAAAACCATTTGTGTCATGCTTTCTTTCACGCATCTCCTGTGATCCACCGATGCACACATCTTTACTAAAAGCAGGTCTTACCTGTTTCTATGCGGCACGATGAAGTGACCCTTATGAAGCGAGCTGCTGGTCTGTGTAAACAGTTCATGCTTTGGAGAATCGGTTTGTCAAGGAAAGCTTAAATTGCAATTTGCTCTTTTATTGATCTTTTGTGAGACATTTGACTCGATATAATACCTTTAAGTGCTCCTGAGGCATTTATTATACACACCCTGTCTGGCAGTAAGCCGATAAGTTGGATTCACACACTCACAAAAATACATGTTGTCTTAACGACGCACGGATGCACATCCCTTTCTCTTCCTGCCTGTTGGTCAGCCTTAAATCTGCCAGATGCTGTGTCACATCTGGCAAAGAAAACCAAATCATCCATCTTCACAGATGAAATAAACTGAGAAGTCGGAAAAGGAAGGAAGTAGAATAAAAAAAAAGGAAAAGCTCTCCTCCAGCTTCAAAGTGTTCCCCACGGTAAAATATTGTTTCAGTGTATTCTGTACTGTGTAGCCCTAATGCAGGCTTTGAACTGTTTTGGCACCTGTCACAAAGACTGATGAAATTGTTTCTCCCTGCACAATGGTGTTCTGTTCATCTCCCTCCCTCAGTTCCCCCCCTTTTTTCCTTTCTTATAAATTCCAATCCTCTCAGTTTCGGATGCGGTATTAGAGACGAGGGCAGTGGTGAATGTTAAAGGGATGTACTACATTGCTGGAAGTATTTAGAAACCCGCATTAACCCACACATACACCTAATTAACACTGTTTTCTGATACGTTATATTTAATTTTGAGTTGGCCCAATTTTTACAGCCGTACGTTCCACTGTCTTGGGAAGGCTGTGTTCATGCTTTAGAGGCGTGTTTATGTCTTTAGAATAGCATTTATGAGGTCAGACACTGATGTTGGAAAATAAAAGCCTGACTTGCTGCCTCCATTAAACATCCTAAAATCCTTCATATGATCGAGGTCGGTAGATCGACAGAGGAGTCAAGTTTTTGCACATCTTGCATTTTCTTATTGACCTTAAGTTTAAAAATACTAAATTGTCTTTCTCAAACTGTCCCCACATAGTGGGAAGCAATAAATTGCCTAAAATGACTTTCCTACAGCAGCCAGGGTTCCTAACTCTAGAAGTAAGAGACTGAGAACAAAGTTGACAAATCTTCCCCTTCTAGGCTATTTTTCCCCCATTGCAGTGATGTACCTGCTGGAATCATCCATCATATTGTCAGACGGAGAAGCAATGGAGCTCTTCCTTCTTTAGAAGTCCATCACTGAGGTGTTTTACACCTGCAGCTGGACTTGGATTCAGTTCCCCAGCTAAGAAAACCCATTTAATGCAACTCTCTATTGTTCTTGAACTAATCTGAAAGCTGCATGACATTGAAACGTTTGTAACTTCTCTGTGACTGAGCTGCTGCTGTTTTCAAAAGCTTCTGCTTTATTAACCACTAAAAGTAGTGTAGAAAATGCATGAATTGACTTGTTAAAGCAACACTGGATAACTTCTGACCCAACTATTAGCTTAATTAAAGATATATTAAAAATAATCTTTAGGTTTGTATTCAGCAGTTGGGTCATATAAATGCTCCCAGCATGCTGCTCTCCTTAAGAAATCATCTATGTAGCCTGAGAGGGTCTGATCTGTCCCTGAATGAGTCATGACACCCAGAGTTTGAGTTCTGCTTAAAAGTTGTTAGGCAACAAAGCAGATAAGATGCTTACCTGATCAAATACATTTTTGGTTCCGTTGTAAGATTTAATCTAAAGGGAGATGATTTGGTCTTGCTGTTTTAAGCAACTCCATGACTTGTCAATCTGCTGGTTCAAACATCAGAGGAAACGGTTTAATTTTGTGACAGTGCAGTGCTGCCAGTTGCTCTCAGGGACGCCGAGCCTTGAAGCTAGAGAACCATCGCCACTGGTGTGTCGCTCTAAACAGATGGCGCTCTGTGGTGCTACCAAACTAGTATTCCCTGATCTCTAGAGAACAAACCATGTTTGCAGAATTCTGCATGCTTAAATGCTATTGGAACAGGTGCTGGTCACTTTATATGACTTTTTCTTTCAAATCGACTATAAAGCAAAGCAGATGTGACTCTGATAACCTCTCAGCAGCTACCCTTATGGTTAAGATTTATTGATATCACTGGGCTCAAAGAAGATTGAAAAGAAAAGGACATTATTCAGTTATGTTTGACATTTAAGCAGTTTTGTGACTATTTAAATTTTATTCAATGAAAATCTAAAGGGAATTCAATTATAGATGCTTAAATAAAAGTAGTGCACCTTGATATGAATGTTTGAAATTGTTTCTTTTTATGAAACAGAAGAAGGTTTTGACAAAATGGGAAATTATAGGCATGTCATGATAGTAGATATCAACAAAAAGACCTTTAGATAAGAGCTGATAGAACACATTTTTATAGGGAATCCATGTCTCAGTACATTTTGGTATCATAAGGTAGATTTAAATATCTTTGCTTATAAAGTATCTCAAGTTTTACTGTTTTTATATAGAAATAATTTCCTGATTCTCGTTTTTATTTGAGATTTTGAAGCTGTACATGCACTAATAGTTGAGAGGGGATTCAATTGAAAGGCTGGTATAAGGAAATATAACTGGCCAAGAAACGACAAGTAGACGGTGGAGCTGACAAAAAGTCGATAAACGGATGAATAAAACAGCTACCAGCTGCTTATACTACAGGCTGTGCTAGCTTGCATTTCAGAGGCTTTCCTGACATACCAGCAGGGTGTTGGAACCTTTTCTTTTTCCCCTCCAGCTCGTGTCACCCCGAGTGATGCAAGTCTGCAGGTTTTGACGGCAGCTTACAGTACCTTTCTGTGACTCGACTTCAAAAGCCACAAGTGCAAATCAATCTCTGTTTCCTCTTCTGTCGCAGTCTCCCTCCATCCCTGGCCCCTTCCATCAATTTTCTAGAGCTGTCTGAGACTCCAGGCAGTTAATTAAGTAGGACATTGTCGCGGAGTCGGTACACGATGTGGCTGGAGATGGATGGATGGATAAATGGATTGAAAAGATACAGAGGGACCCAGACATCCCATTTTTCCCTTATAGTTTGAAGTATAGTTTTATTGTACTTGCAAGTAATATTTTTCTACTCAACATCACATTTGATGATGATCTGGTTTTAAAGTGTTCAAATTATCTTTTGTCATTCTTGCATTTCGATCTTTCATTCTTTTCTCCTCTGAGTTAAACTACCCTTGTTTGCCTTCTCAGACGTCCTTCCCTTCATTTTCTCACCCTCTCCTTGCTTCTTAACCATCCATTTTCCTGCTGCTCCCTTCCTCTGCTCACCCTGCCTCCCTCCTAGTTGATTATACGTCTAGCCCTCTGTACTCTGCTGCATCCTCCTCCTGTAGTATTCCCCTCCCTCATTATGTGTTGGGGACGGGGGGGAGGTTGCGTGTTTGTGTGTGATCTGAAACACAAAGCCAGGGCTAAGTAAGCTAATGAACAAACTTCAGCATTGTGTTTGGGGCCCCGGGGACACACTCTAGCTCCTAGTGTACAGCAGCTACAGCTGGAGAGAGGGGAAAGGAGAGGGCTTGAGGTGACGCGTCTGCGGTGAATACCAAACAAGGATCTGGTCAAAGATCTTTTTTTAAACTGCTTTATACACAAACATCTGGGTGTGGAGTCTCTGTCTGTGGATATTATTTTGTGAGTCAGTCGTCTCCATTTTGGGAAATGTGCAACATATATGAACAGGTAGAGGCTGGGATCTTAAACTAGCATTGTCACTCACACCCTTGCAGTTTTTTTCTCCTTATTCTGCTCCATGTTGATGAGATTTGCATCCCGCTGCCAAATTACACTGTAATGACTTAATTTCTTCCAGCACATGCACAAAATCAGTTCTCGGAAACAGTATGCTCCAAGCATTCTGCCTTGTCATATGTTTGTCCCAAACATGCTTAATTAATCCAATTTCTCTTTGTTGGTCTCTAACACATCTAAACAAGGATCCATGCTCAAACACACCCTGCAGGGGTTTGGCCCCTCAGTTGAAGGCCAGTTTCCAGATGATCTAAACAAGCCTCTTGGTCCCGAGACCCAAACTTGCACGCATAATCGCTAGAAATGTGCTACAAACATAGACCTTGTTATTCAGTCAGACACATGACTGTATTGCATGACCAGAGCTCTGGAATAAAGATATAATTGGTGAAAAAAAACTATATATCTTGTACAAAAGGCCTGAGGGAGTTGTGCTCTCAGCCCACAGTTCCTTGCAAATCATTTATATTGCCTGAATCTTGTTTTCACATCAGACCTCACACGACTTTTTCTTTGTCATTCCAGGATTGTCCCCAGATTCTGCCATCAACCCAGATTTACATGCCGGTCGGAGTCACCAAATCGATCACCTTGGCAGCCAGGAACCTTCCCCAACCTCAGTCCGGACAGAAGCCCTACGAGTGCGTCTTTGACATTCAGGGTCAGACCTACAACGTGGCTGCACTGCGCTTCAACAGCACCTCCATCCAGTGCCAGAAAATGGCGGTCAGTAAGAACAGAAAGATGATAGGCATTCTGGGTGAACACTGTGCATTCAAGGATGTTGTTTTAGCTAGTTTATAAAGAGGAACATGGTCTGTTTTTTAAGTAGTCTTTGAAATAATAAGTGAAATGTAAATATACCAGTTCACATTTTTATACATAAAACAAAATCTTACAAAGAACAGGAGGGTTTAATGAATTGCAGTACAAATTATGTTATGTATTCGGTGCAGATTGAAAGCATTTCCATTACTTTGGTTCAAATCAATACAACTGGGTAACTAAATCATGATCCCAGTGAAGGCATTGACTTGGTCAAGGTTAAATAATAGCTTCCTACAGCTAATGACCATTCTGGACATAAATGTTCTCCCCATCATGATGAATCACTATGCACTCATGGCATACCGGCTTGGTGACAGTCTAGATTAATGATTCAACACTTAGATGTTGCATTGAACTAATAGTTGGCAAATAAATATTGTTGGCATTTATTAAACTTTGGATTAAGATACAAACTCTTTTTATTAGTTTAAATCACAATTGCTTTGGGTTTGATTGAGCACGAGTGGCATACAGTAAATGTTCAATGCCTTGCAGAAGTGTTCAAGCCCCAAGCACTTTCTCGCCGAATGTTACATCACAATTATATATACCATTAGTGTGCTCATTAAAAGGAAAGCTTTAATTTCAGCTTTTAAATTCCAAGTGTTGTATCCATTTGTAATCACCCTCAACCGAACTCTGAACCTACAAACCACCTAACTCAAATTCACAATTGAACTGATACAGTACTTAAGAACAGTATCTGGGAATCTGTGTTGGTACATGACGATACCCGTTTTCAATACCATGTAAAAGTTACCTATAACCTGGCTTACTTACCTGATGCAGACAGAGATGATGGTGCGGCTGCATCTATTGTTGGTAGCTCCAGATTATCCGAAGTTGTAGAAAATTGTGAACTCCTCAGCTTTGTGAAAAGTCTTGCACTTAACCAGACCTTTCCATTGCTGGCCTTGTACTTTCCTAAAATATTGCAGCGAGTGTAATCTGCTTCATATTTGGAAAGTAAGCCTTGTGTTGTAGTCAAGACCAGAGTAACCGAGACCAAGGAGTATCGAGACAAGACCTTTAGAGACCAAGACCCTTATATAGTCTTGGCTTCCTCATGTACACCAATGGTAAATAGATCACCTTTCCACTTAGCCTGGGTGCCAGTCCGAACTTAGTCCCGCCCACAAGGTTTGAGTTCGGGGAAGTTCGGTCTGGCTCTGCTCCATAGTAGCGCGAGTATTAAAGCCCACTGTCAGGCGATCCAATCAAATTGTCAGGGCGGGCTTTATACGATGATGGACAGATGATCAAGAGCAACGTTATCAACCACGTGACCAAAGCGCGCTTGGGTGACAACAATAATGGCTGCCGCTGGAGAGTTTGGGTGAGTAGATTCTGCTATTAGGTCTGTTCTAGAAGATATCGACAGCAAATTAATTTTAAAAGAGGAACAGAGAAACGCGATCAAGTCTCATCTTCTTATTCTAGGCGTGAAACTGCACGCTTTGATTTTTGTGGACAACAACTATGCCTCGCTTAAGATACGTCACGCACTCCGTTGCTCCTATTGGTTGTAGGTCTATCCAATTGAGTGCAGAGGCATTTTTTTTCCTGGTTCGTTCAAAACATGCCCCATAATCACAGCTCTATGGAGCAGTATCAGACTCATATTCTGACTAGAATTGAGTCGGACTACGTCAGGCTACTTTCCACTCCCTCTCTGTTACAATGATGAGTTTAGGTACCAAAACATGGCAGTTTGGTTTTACATGGATTGGTACTTGGCAGTACAGATGTAATTCGATCTGGACTAATAAAAGTAGCGAATCTGATACCCCTCCGTAGCTGACATGCAAACACTGTTGCAGAAAGCTTATTTCTTCAAATCACTGATCAGTCCATCCCTGTAGTGAACCATGGTTGTAGTGTGATAGGTTTATTCAGCAGGAACAGAAAAAAGCCTCACAATTTAAGAGGGGGAAAGGATGCAGCTTACGAGGGGAGTAGCTATTAATAAAAACTTATGTGTAGGTGTCATTTTGTCAATGTTAGTCAATAAACATTAATAAAGTTTAAGATTTTTTTTCCTCATACGTACACGGAACTTCAGATGTTTAATCAATGAAGATACAAATTTAAATTTATGAATGAAAGTTTGAAAGTTACAGATATCATTTAAAAAATTGGGAGGAGGAAACTACAACCCGGTAATGTTACGCTACTGTTTCTGAGAAGGTGCGGCTGTAAGTTGTTCGTTAACCCTCTTTAAACGAGAAAAAGAAGGCAAAAACTAAACGTTAAATTTTCATGCGTTGAAAAAGTAGTTTTGGTTTGGTTTTCTTCCTCTTCTCGTTTTAAAGGCTGTTGTCGAACAATCTTTTTCTTAACATTGCCGCCTCCTGCTGGTAAGGAGTGTTATACCTCATCAGGGGTTGTAGAATAGTGCTTGTAAAGTGGTGATTTCGTATTAATAGCAAACTATTAACTTGAAACCTTTATTCTCACAAATGAAACATCTGATGTCACATTTGTGTACGCAAGAATTGAAAGCGAGGAACAAATACAAATTTCAATTTTATTTTTGTTTACATACATTTACATATTCAGACAGTTTTGGGTTTTGTGGGGGATGTTGAATAAAAATGTACCTTATATTTGTCAGATTTTTTAAGATTTTTTTAAAAAAGATTTTTCCAACTAATGTTTGTCAATCACAAATTACCAGTAAACCCACCTTGATGTTTGTTTTGCTGACGTCCCCAAATTTCCCAGGGTCTAAACGCCATTGTAAGGTACTGGAATATGCTCGTGGCTTTAACTGGTAGTAATGCGTATTAACTGGATATAGTGTTACCAAATAAGGGTTTTATTTCTGCATACCGTCTAGTAAGAATCCTTTTCACTTGTATGTGTGCAGAGGATTTGCAGGTACGCAGAGGTATTTGTGCATGTGAGTCCATGCCTGTTTGGTGTTAGAACATGGCGGATGGTGCACGCGCCTGTGTGGCTTCAAACTAGCATGACAGATAAGAGGTAGCTAGCGTCGCGCTTCATTGAGGCTGAAAATGTGGAGAGGAAGTCTCTCTCTGAACCTAGTTTGGAGCGGATTGATCATGTTTACACCTCCACTCTATACCTCTCTCTCTCCCTTTTCCTCCATCTGCCTTAGAGTTCATCTTTTTCTCTCTGCCTTCCTGCTGCTCCCAGGTTTCTGCGCTCAATCTTCCTTGGGTTCATCTCCACGTCATGCCTTTCATATCTATTTTTAGTAAAAAGATGATACGAAGTGCTTTTAATTTGTTTTTCCATGCAGGCTCTGCAGGTGTCACAGCAACAGGGAATAGAATATCTGATAAATTAGAAACACTTAAATGTCATTTTTTTAAAGATGGAAGCTTTTGTCCTTGTCATAATCATCTGAGGTTTCTTAATTTACATACTTGATCAGCAGTCCATTCCTACCTGTATATGTTGACGGGTAGCCACTGTGACAGTATTCTGTCCATATCGACTCATAGCCTACAGGTCTTCTCACAGTTGACAGTGAAGGCAGGGATAATTATCCTGCTACAGGGTTGTCTGTCCACAGAGATGTTTGTTTATTGACTGTTTATTGTAGCTGCAAGGCCGATGTTAATAAGTAGCAAAGTCCAGCTCTGGCCAAAAGTTAAATGTCTCTATTTGATGTCCAGCATGCAGACATGCTAGCAGTAATTAGCCCGGGGCTGTCATCGCTTAAACCCCGCTTCGCAATTTGCAGTGGCAACTTGACTGCCATGCCAGATATCGATGTAGCACATGCACAGAGTTTTCGTGCATCCGTATTTAGATTCAGGGGATGAAAAAGGTGGCAGCTGCATGAACTTGCCATTAGGGCATAATTCATGCAGACTTGAGATTATGAGTTTAATTATGTGCCATGAATTATTAGGATGAGGGTCTTATTTTAGAACAGGAGCAGTATTTCACAAGAATAGGGTCTTAAATATTAGTTTATCCATTTATAGACCTTCATATCTCAGGTTTTCACACAGGCTCCTCTCTGTTTGTTCATGCTGTGACAGCGTTCAGCGCTGACTCCATGAATCATGCATGACTGCGGTGGAAATAGACTTAATCTCCTATGCTGCACACACACTGCTGCATCTGTTCGTAAATACATAGACACACATACAGCTAGAGGGGTGAAGAACTGTCTATTGGCATGTTGACATGTGTATCCCTCAGCATGTCTTACTGTGTGTCTCCCATGATAGCCCTGTATGCATCTCTGAATTTACGCCCCTCAGACCATTGCAGCAACACTGCTTCATAGTAGGCTGCTAATCAATAGGATAGACGCTGGAGTGCTAAACCAGTGATTTATTTTTTTAGTTGGAATGACTCAAATGTTCTTTTTTACCAATGTTTAAAAGCTTTAAACAGAATCATGAGGGAGTAAGTAAATAAACCAGCTTTATTTTAAACAAACTTTTTCCATCTTCAAAGTTCAAACCAGTGACTGATATGTTAAACAACAGCTGGCTGCTGCTGGTTTACACCCTAGGATTTGGGAAAAATCTACCTCCATGGATTTTATCCTATCCTTTGGTTTCATGTTCTATTTTTCCTGTAGGCTAGTTGATGCTAAATATAATTCTGTTTGAGTCTCTAATGTGGAGGTCTTCAACAGGGGGTCCGCAACCCCTAGGGGGTCCACGAAGGTACTGCATGGGGCTCGCAAAAGTTTTGATTTTTTATTTTTTTATATCCCCCCTGCGATTTTTGAATTCAACACACTGTAGTAAAAAGATAAATGAAGGCAGAAGATGTCTTTCATCATCAATGCACACATTCAGCAACAGACAGGAGCTCTTTCAAGCTGGGCACCGTTTTATTCACAACACCTGTCCCATCAACGAGGAATCAGAATCAGAAATGCTTTAATAATCTCAAGGAGAAATTAC